ACAATTCGAACGGTGACTCTTACATTGAAGAGCAAATAACATTAAAATGATGACTAATACGGAACATAATGCAAGTACATTCCAAATTTCACATGGATATCTGAGAACATATTATAATATATACTGCATATATAAAAATATATACTACAAAGATATGAGATGCTTTTTCACCTCCACATGGTTTTAAACCCATAGAAATTAGTACCTGCCCAAGTCCTAAATGTCAAAACTCTGTTGTGTTTCAAAATATACCTGGAGAGATCATCATGGCAAAAGAAGGGACCTTCGACAAGCCGTCGGCTTCCTGTCCTCGTCGAGGCCACAAGAGTTAGCAGCTATCAGGAAATCAGATAACAAAAAAAAAGGCAATTAAATAAATATTTTACAATTGAAGGCCATATTATTGTGTTTAAAAAAAAGTATGTATTTTTATACGATTTTATTAATATAATGTATTAATTCACATATTGCTTAAAGAAAATTAAATTTTTTAATTAATAAAATAGTATTAATATAGAAACTTCAAGATTTGTGTATTGTATAAATATTTTCATTTAAGTAAAACATTCATAATTTAGAATTTAAGTATATTCCAGGACTTATTCGTATAGTTTATTTTTGAAGCACTTAGGTGCTAAAATCCTTAGTAAATGTTTATATATTTTCATAGTAGGTTTGGCTTTGATAACTAATATCAGTGCTGAGCCTACTGTTAACGGTAGTTACACAGCATCAACATTATATGAGGTAGTGTAGCGATCAGGGCCCAGATTCACGAAGCAGTTACGCAAGTACTTACGAACGTGTACATCTTTCCTCAATCTTTGACGCCTTTGGTTACATTTATTAAACAGTTAACAAACATGAAAACTTCCCAATCAACGGTTGTTATTGTTATAAACAGCCTCCTGGTGCTTCGGAGCTCATTAACTGTTTAATAATTGTTTTTTAATTAAATTGAAAAAATTTATGAATTTTCATGAATTAATTGTTTTTCGACTACCTAACCTACCTAACCTAACCTAACCTAACTTTTTCGACTACCTAACCAAACCTAACCTAACCTAACCTAACTTTTTCGACTACCTAACCAAACCTAACCTATAAAGATAGGTTAGGTTAGGTAGGGTTGGTTAGGTTCGGTCATACATCTACGTTGTTTTTACCTCCAATAAAAAAAATTGACCTAATACATAGAGAAAAGGGTTGCTTTATCATTTCATAAGAAAAAAATTATAGTAAATATATTAATTCAGGAAAACTTGGCTTATTAGGCAAATCGGGCCTTGAATAGTAGGCTGAGAAGTGAGTTCTGGCTACTAGGTACGACATATATATATATATATGTCGACATATATATATATATATATATATATATGTCGTACCTAGTAGCCAGAACGCACTTCTCAGCCTACTATGCAAGGCCAGATTTGCCTAATAAGCCAAGTTTTCATGAAATAATTGTTTTTCGACTACCTAACCTACCTAACCTAACTTTTTCGGCTACCTAACCTAACCTAACCTATAAAGATAGGTTAGGTTAGGTTAGGTAGGGTTGGTTAGGTTCGGTCATATATCTACCGTAATTTTAACTCCAATAAAAAAAATTAACCTCATACATAATGAAATGGGTAGCTTTATCATTTCATAAGAAAAAAATTAGAGAAAATGTATTAATTCAAGAAAATTTGGCTTATTAGGCAAATCGGGCCTTGCATAGTAGGCTGAGAAGTGCGTTCTGGCTACTAGGTACGACATATATATATATATATATATATATATATATATATATATATATATATATATATATATATATATATATATATATATATATATATATATATATATATGTCGTACCTAGTAGCCAGAACTCACTTCTCAGCCTACTATTCAAGGCCCGATTTGCCTAATAAGCCAAGTTTTCCTGAATTTATATATTTACTATAATTTTTTTCTTATGAAATGATAAAGCAACCCTTTTCTCTATGTATGAGGTCAATTTTTTTTTATTGGAGTTAAAATTAACGTAGATATATGACCGAACCTAACCAACCCTACCTAACCTAACCTAACCTATATTTATAGGTAAGGTTAGGTTAGGTAGCCAAAAAAAGCTAGGTTAGGTTAGGTTAGGTAGGTTAGGTAGACGAAAAAACATTAATTCATGAAAACTTGGCTTATTAGGCAAATCGGGCCTTGAATAGTAGGCTGAGAAGTGCGTTCTGGCTATTAGGTACGACATATATATATATATATATGTCGTACCTAGTAGCCAGAACGCACTTCCCAGCCTACTATGCAAGGCCCGATTTGCCTAATAAGCCAAGTTTTCATGAATTAATTGTTTTTCGACTACCTAACCTACCTAACCTAACCTAACCTAACTTTTTCGGCTACCTAACCTAACCTAACCTATAAAGATAGGTTAGGTTAGGTTAGGTAGGGTTGGTTAGGTTCGGTCATATATCTACGTTAATTTTAACTCCAATAAAGAAAAATTGACCTCATACATAATGAAAAGGGTAGATTTATCATTTCATAAGAAAAAAATTAGAGAAAATACATTAATTCAGGAAAACTTGGTTTATTAGGCAAATCGGGCCATGAATAGTAGGCCAAAAAGTGCGTTCTGGCTACTAGGTACGACATATATATATATATATATATATATATATATATATGTCGTACCTAGTAGCCAGAACTCACTTCTCAGCCTACTATTCAAGGCCCGATTTGCCTAATAAGCCAAGTTTTCCTGAATTAATATATTTACTATAATTTTTTTCTTATGAAATGATAAAGCAACCCTTTTCTCTATGTATGAGGTCAATTTTTTTTTATTGGAGTTAAAATTAACGTAGATATATGACCGAACCTAACCAACCCTACCTAACCTAACCTAACCTATATTTATAGGTAAGGTTAGGTTAGGTAGCCAAAAAAAGCTAGGTTAGGTTAGGTTAGGTAGGTTAGGTAGACGAAAAAACATTAATTCATGAAAACTTGGCTTATTAGGCAAATCGGGCCTTGAATAGTAGGCTGAGAAGTGCGTTCTGGCTATTAGGTACGACATATATATATATATATACATATATATATATATATATATATATATATATATATATATATATATATATATATATATATGTCGTACCTAGTAGCCAGAACGCACTTCTCAGCCTACTATGCAAGGCCCGATTTGCCTAATAAGCCAAGTTTTCCTGAATTAATATATTTTCTCTAATTTTTTTCTTACGAAATGATAAAGCTACCCATTTCATTATGTATGAGGTCAATTTTTTTTTATTGGAGTTAAAATTAACGTAGATATATGACCGAACCTAACCAACCCTACCTAACCTAACCTAACCTATTTTTTTTCTTTATAGGTGAGGTTAGGTTAGGTACCCTAAAAAAGTTAGGTTAGTTAGGTTAGGTAGGTTAGGTAGTCGAAAAACAATTAATTCATGAAAACTTGGCTTATTAGGCAAATCGGGCCTTGCATAGTAGGCTGAGAAGTGCGTTCTGGCTACTAGGTACGACATATATATATATATATATATATATATATATATATATATATATATATATATATATATATATATATATATATATATATATATATATATATATGTCGTACCTAGTAGCCAGAACGCACTTCTCGGCCTACAATGCAAGGCCCGATTTGCCTAATAAGCCAAGTTTTCCTGAATTAATTTATTTTCTCTATTTTTTACCCATTTCTTATGAAATGATAAAGCTACCCATTTCATTATATATGAGGTCGATTTTTTCAACAGAATGGTAATGGAACTTTGATTTGTTACACGTAACAATCATATTGCTTAATAAACATACTTGAACTTGAACAGGTCTGGTCGCTGCACTACCTCATATAATGTTGATGCTGTGTAACTGCCGTTAACTGTCGGCTCAACACTGATATTAGTTATCAATCCTTAAACTGCTATGAAAAAGCACAATTGTAAGAAACTAACTTAAGTAACTCAGGATATTTTCTTATAAATTTTAAGGAATATATTAATCACTGTTTTTAGCACCTAAGTGCTTTAAAAATATTTAAATATGCCAAAGCGAAGAGGCATTGATCTACGTATAGTGAAATTACAAATATTATACTTATCACAAAATATTCATGAATTATGTAATTCTTAAAGTTCCTATATAAATACTATTTTAATAATTAAAAATTTTAAGTTTTTTTTTTAATTATATGCTAAACAATACATTATATATATATATAAATAATGAAAAAAGTATAATTGTTTTATTTCAAACATAATAATAGTTTAGTTTAGTTCATTTATTATGCACCCGAGACCCATCTTGGGAGCGGGAGTGGAAAGGGTTACAGAGACACATAATGGGCTCAGGGACTGAACCCCACAATTCATGTAGCTAAACAAGTTACAATCTTGATGAGCTAGTTACAAAATTTAGTATAAGACCGTCACATCATCAATGGGTTCGAGAACGACCACAAATACAGTTTCTTTATTAAGCAGCTGACATATGTGGAGAGCTAGTGTCACAATTGATATGTTTGTCCTGCACACCGCCCCCCATCCAGTGGGTAGCGGTGGATAGCTTACAATCACTTAGTTACTACCTACAGTTAGCAAACTGGTGATATTTGGCTAAACATTCTGGTAGCATATAATTTTGAATGAAATATTTACACATTGTTGGAACATTGGTTATAGAACAAATAAAAACATTTCTTTTGCATTGTGAGTTCTTGCATGTATACTGGCATGAGAACACAGAGTCTTCCACACATTGAGTGCTCGTCAGCCTGCATTGAATAATTTGACGCTAAAACTTAAAAATTAAGCAAACCTTATTAATTAATGAGGTTAATTAGTGTGTTATATTTACGGGAACAGAGAGTTAGCATCACGGGTCAAGTGGAATAACTGATTCTTGACGAGAAGTTATTATCACTGTTTTGACCATCAAGACAATTCTTTCTGTTTGTGAATAACAAAGCAAGTCTTCTATATGGTTCTTCCTAACAGATAACGTCCTCATAGTTTTTATTATTAAGATTTAAAAGCCTTTGTTGAGTGATCAATTGAAATTATTACAGTTGTGGCTGGAGTGAACATTTGTACACCAAATGAAAACGTCATTATTTACAATTCGAACGGTGACTCTTACATTGAAGAGCAAATAACATTAAAATGATGACTAATACGGAACATAATGCAAGTACATTCCAAATTTCACATGGATATCTGAGAACATATTATAATATATACTGCATATATAAAAATATATACTACAAAGATATGAGATGCTTTTTCACCTCCACATGGTTTTAAACCCATAGAAATTAGTACCTGCCCAAGTCCTAAATGTCAAAACTCTGTTGTGTTTCAAAATATACCTGGAGAGATCATCATGGCAAAAGAAGGGACCTTCGACAAGCCGTCGGCTTCCTGTCCTCGTCGAGGCCACAAGAGTTAGCAGCTATCAGGAAATCAGATAACAAAAAAAAAGGCAATTAAATAAATATTTTACAATTGAAGGCCATATTATTGTGTTTAAAAAAAAAGTATGTATTTTTATACGATTTTATTAATATAATGTATTAATTCACATATTGCTTAAAGAAAATTAAATTTTTCAATTAATAAAATAGTATTAATATAGAAACTTCAAGATTTGTGTATTGTATAAATATTTTCATTTAAGTAAAACATTCATAATTTAGAATTTAAGTATATTCCCAGGACTTATTCGTATAGTTTATTTTTGAAGCACTTAGGTGCTAAAATCCTTAGTAAATGTTTATATATTTTCATAGTAGGTTTGGCTTTGATAACTAATATCAGTGCTGAGCCTACTGTTAACGGTAGTTACACAGCATCAACATTATATGAGGTAGTGTAGCGATCAGGGCCCAGATTCACGAAGCAGTTACGCAAGTACTTACGAACGTGTACATCTTTCCTCAATCTTTGACGCCTTTGGTTACATTTATTAAACAGTTAACAAACATGAAAACTTCCCAATCAACGGTTGTTATTGTTATAAACAGCCTCCTGGTGCTTCGGAGCTCATTAACTGTTTAATAATTGTAAAAAATTCAATTAAGATTTTAATCAGGACATAACTGTAGCTTAATTAGTGAATTATGATTATTCATGTGCTTGAGAATGAAGTTTGTCTAGTAACATAATTATATCCTTATTAAAATATAATTAAGTATGCTAAAGTATCTAGTTACAGTAAGATTAGTACCTACTATGCAAGTACTCTTAAGCATTTGCTATATAACCTAATTAATGTTTCTGAATAAGCTTTTTCGCTGACTGTTAACTACCTAAGCAACTTGCTAGTTCGTACCGTAATCAATATAGATGTTAGGCTCTGGTAGAGCTATAAGTAGGTGTCTATATAGTTACAGTTCAATGTTCAACGTATAGATAGCACATCACATAGAGCTATGAAGTACTCTATCACTTATAATTAATAAACATTAACAAAGTTAATTGTATTAAGTTCATAAACTTACAATGAGATTTATTAACATCGCACTGTCAATCATAGTTATTAATTAAAAGTCTTCTAATTAGTTAATTATATTATACTATATTAAACTTGATTATATAACTATATAATATATTAACTATATCATATAAATAAAATATATAATATATTCTACCTATAGTAGCAATATTAGACTATTCAGCTAAGTACGTATGTAAGGCCATTTTGCCAAATGCAATTTCTGACCTAATAATACCTAAAATAGTTAGTTCTCATAACATATAACTTATGCAATCTTACTAGTCTATGAATTAGAGGTCAAGCTTACTTCATGGCTGTAATGAACTAGATATTGTCGATAGTAACAATCATATTAATCCTAATAACTATTATATATATAGTAATGGATTAGTGTTCAAGTACACTATACGTAATATAAGCAGTTAGCTATATAAGCATAGTAGCTGAAAATAACAATTAATATAACTATTAGTAAACTTGGTTATTAGCAAATACGGCTTGAATAGTAGATAGTAATATGTATTCGTCATAGTACTAAATTATTTACTATATAATTCTAATATACTCAAATCGATTGTGAGAATGGTTTCTCATTCTCACAATCGACTTTAAAATGGTCCAGGACGGACCAAAACGTCGTCGTTCCTTCACCTGAAAGCCACTAACCCTTGTGGTCTCGACGAGTACAGGAAGCCGACGGCTTGTCGAAGGTCCCTTCTTTTGCTTTGATGATCTTTCCAGGTATATTTTGAAACTCAGCAGAGTTTTGGCATTTAGGAATTTGGTGGGTTGGAGGTTCCATGGGCTTATAACCCTGTGGGGTAAAAAAGCATGTCTTGTTCTAGTTGACCACAGAGGTACTAGAAACAGTAGCTGCATAGTGAATATAAGCATTTAGTCACATAGGAACTATGTTATTGCGAGGAAGGGTTCAATAGACCCTATGTGCATCCTGTTTGCAGTAGTGTACCCCATAGACACTCCAACATATCATCGTTTTCTGTCGATGTTCGTACAGTCCATTCTCTTGAGAGTTTATAGGCACACACTATTATATATAATGTTAACCGGCGAAGCACCGTTATTTGTATATTTAATTTTTTATATATTAGAGGGTACATTGAGTTTGTTAGAGTACAGAGACTTGAAGTTATACATTCTTGTAAAGCCACTAGCATGCATAGCGTTTCGGGCAAATCATTATTCTAACATAATTTGACAAGGTAATTTTTAAAAAAATTTAAAAAATTTAGGTACATTGTAAAAAAGTATAAGAATACATTGCAAGAAAGTACAAAAATACATTGTAAGAAGGTATAAACATACATTGTATAAGAAATTTGACAGAAAAAAAGAGTAGGTACATTAAAGTAAATTTAAGGGTTATCCACAGGTAGGACATAATGTAGCAAACTATGTATATAACATGATATAAGATAACAGCAATGATTATAATGGTAAAGTTGTATGGCATAGGTACATATTTTTGGGAATTGGGTAGCACTAGATACAGTGCGAGTTTCAAGCACTAGGTAGGACACTATGAAGATGAATTTAGGTACTTTTTTTTTTTTTTTTTTTTTTTTTTTTTTTTTTTTTTTAGATATATACAAGAGTTGTTACATTCTTGTAGAGCCACTAGTACGCGTAGCGTTTCGGGCAAGTCCTTAATCCTATGGTCCCTGGAATACGATCCCCTGCCGCGAAGAATCGTTTTTTCATCCAAGTACACATTTTACTGTTGCGTTAAACAGAGGCTACAGTTAAGGAATTGCGCCCAGTAAATCCTCCCCGGCCAGGATACGAACCCATGACATAGCGCTCGCGGAACGCCAGGCGAGTGTCTTACCACTACACCTCGGAGACTGCCTAGATTTTTAGTTTTATTTTTGAAATATAGCAAAAGTTAGACAGCTTTTCAATTCGTTAAGGAGTGAATTCCATAGACCAGGTCTCTTTATTTGCACGGAGTGTTTACACAAATTAAGTTTGACTCTGAGGATATTAAAGAGATATTTATATCTGGTGTGGTGATTATGTGTTCTATTACATGTGTCCACAAAGAGTTTCAGAACTGGGTTAGTACTTAAGAACAGGGTTTTGTAAATGTAATTGACATAAGAGAATGTGGGGAGTGAGGTTATGTTTAGCATGTTTAGGTATTTAAACAGGGAGACTGAGTGCTGTCTGAAACCCGAGTTTTTTTTATTGTTCTGATAGCAGACTTTTGCTGGGTGTTGATGGGCTTGAGGTAGTTTACATAGGTTGAGCCCCATGCACAGATGCCATATGTAAAATAAGGATAGATTAGCGCATCGTATAGTGAGAGGAGAGTAGAGTTTGGAACATAATATCTAATTTTAGAGCGTATACCAACCGTTTTTTAGATTTTCTTGGTTATGTGTTGAATGTGGGTGCTGAAGTTGAGTCTCTTGTCTAAGTATAGGCCAAGGAACTCTCCATCATTTTTATTGCTGATGTTATCATTGTCTATCTCAAGTTGAATTGCATTTGTTGATTTGCTTCCAAATAAGATGTCGTAGGTCTTTTCTATGTTTAGTGTGAGTTTGTTGGTTGACATCCATAAGTGAACTTTTATTAGATCATTGTTTCCAACATTATTTAGTGTGTGTGTGAGTGTGGGTTGGGGTCTGATTAGATGAGGGTAGTATCGTCAGCAAATTATATAGGTGGAAGAATGTTAGAAACATTAGGCAGATAATTGAAGTATATAAGAAATGTAAAAGGTCCCAGGTCGCTACCCTGTGGCACTCCTTCAGTTAATGGTAGAGTGGGAGAGGTTATACCATTGATGGCCGCATATTGGTGTCTGTCATTAAGATAGGATCAGATATAGTTCAGGACGGCCTCGGATTCCATAATGGCATACTTTAAGTAAGAGGTAATTATGGTTAACAGTATTAAAGGCCTTTCTCAGGTTAATGAAGAGTCCAATCAGAAACTCATTTCTGTCAAGAGTTGAGTAGATTAAGTCAAGCAGACTAATAATTGTATCATTGGTGCTCTCTTTTGGAAGCAGAAGCCAATCTTGAGGTTATTTTGAGATGATTTCGAGGCTTAGTGTCCCCGCGGCTCGGTCCTCGACCAACCAAGCCTCCACCCCCAGGAAGCAGCCCGTGCCAACTGACTAACTCCCAAGTACCTATTTACTGATGCACCTCTTACTAGGTAAGAGATGCATCAGGGTGAAAGAAACTCTGCCCATTGTTTCTCGCCGGCGCCCGGGATCGAACCCGGGACCACAGAATCACGCGTCCAGTGTTCTGTCCGCTCAGCCACCGGCGCCTGTGCCAAACTGATATAATTTTTACTATATTATTATTACTGATATTATTATTATCGGAGCCGTGAATTAGTGAATTAGAATAGACTGGACTAAATTAGAATATATTGGAATGAATTAGAATAGACTGGACTAAATTAGAATATATTGGAATGAATTAGAATAGACTGGACTAAATTAGAATATATTGGAATGAATTAGAATAGACTGGACTAAATTAGAATATATTGGAATGAATCAGAATAGACTGGACTAAATTAGAATATATTGGAATGAATTAGAATAGACTGGACTAAATTAGAATATATTGGAATGAATTAGAATAGACTGGACTAAATTAGAATATATGGAACTGAACTAAAATAGACTTTACTAGACACCAACAACAACCTCGGAACATCTGGTAATTATCTCATAACAGCTTTTTTTTTTTTTTTTTACAAAATCGACCAAAACGTTAAAAATACGACATATTAGTAAAACAAAATAGAACACTCTTACGTTGACATTTTGTTAGGCGTCGGCCTCGACAGGTTAGGTGGGTTGCTTGGGTTTGTACGTTTCAGGTTAGGCAAAACAGCTGTATTTTTTTCGGAGTGGTAAATCGCCGGATCGAGCTGCTGGTCCCCCAGTCAATGATGTCGCTGCCACCGCCTCGTGTTCAATATTAACATCGCCAAAATTTATGAAATTGACATGGTTTACATGTTCGAATTTAGTGGAGCAGCTGTTGAGTTCCCACACAGGTGTTGGGCTCCGCCTCCGTCACACACAACTGCGTACCAGAGCTGGGTAACTATGCCGGGAAAGTTCTTCATCTGGGAAGACTTAATTCACCCCCATAAAATATTACATCTGTAACATCTATCAGTGACGGAGATTCATAAATATGTTAACTTTAATCAAAATTTTATCCTAGGAAAAAGGAGATGGTAAAAATGTATCCCCATTTAGAAATATGTAAATAAACACATGCATAATTAATGTTGAAAATGATTTACACAAATATTCATGTATTCATCTTCTATTAAATGACAGTGTAAGTTGTTAATGGGGACTAATGTCCCGTATTATACTTTTGTACGGAGTGTACAGATACTTAAGTGGTCCTTTTTAAGGACCCAAGGGTACCTTTCTTTTTCTAATAGGAAACTCAGAGTCTCTTGCGAGCCCTTTTCTGTGTCAATTATGGAATTACTGTGAGAGGCCATAATGCTCTACATATCATGTATCCGCTCTGTGATGTGTTAAAATGCTCTTCATCTCATACTGTGTGGAGATGGAGCTAAAATACCTTGAAACTTTGCAAAATGAAGCTATGTGAGTCATCTTCTGGGGCTCCAAAGTCCATGAGAATAGTCAGTATGAGAGCTGAGTTAAAACTAGCTTCCCTAAGATACTTTTGTCCTTCAACATAGTTTTCGGCGTGAAGGCATTGAATAGATCTCAGCACCATATGGAATTTGTCACCATTTTTCTTCGTGTGTAATTTGATTACTCATTTTAGTTTTATAAGGTAGTCAGCTCCATCAAAATGTTGGGGTAACTGGGACCTATTAATACGTTTCCCTTGACTGAACCATCTGTGAGAACTTGCATCGTCTAACACGATCGAGACACATTACGTGGGGTCCACATGTGTTGCACTCTCACAGTGACACGGACTGCATTATCTTCCCCCCCCCCCAAGTGACCAACAGATTCGAAAGTCCACTTGAAACACTTGCTAACACCCATCGTCTCACCTACGGGGGCCACCCAGTACCCACGCTTGGAACCCGTGGCACCTCCGGTATAAAAGTGACCCCTTGGACACGTCTCCTGCCAGCAGTAAGGAGAAGATGGCACGCTTGGTGCCTCTGCTGTTGGGGGCGGCCCTGCTCGCCCCAGGACTTGCTCAAATCATTCCTCGTCGGGAATGTGGAGAGGTTGATGGTGACATTTACCAGTTCTCAGCCAAGTCGCTGGAGAATGGGACAGACGTGAGCTTCGAGGAGTTCCGAGGCAAGGTGAGTGCCTCCTCCTGGCAGGCAGATCACGTCCACTTTACTGTTTTCAATTTAGTGCAACAACGTTGATGGCACTGAGACTGTTTAGTGTTCAGTGTTTTGACAATGTGATCGTTTAGTGTCACAGAGTAAATTTTGTGTTATCCTCATTCATTATTTAATGTACAATTACACTATTATTTTAATTTGATTTTCCAAAGTTTCAAAAACTGTTCCATGGTAAAGTTGTATTGTTTTAAATTATAACTTATTTATTCATGAAAATGCGATGCTTTTATTATTAATATGCAATTTATTGGTTTATTCTTTAATTTTTAGCACTGAATATCAGTGGGATTTCCGCCAATAAATAAATTTTTGATAATTCAATGATTTCACCGGTTCCCAAAGCCATTAACCACATCTTGTTTCAACTAGGTTATGACCCTTTGAAAATGACTCTGTAATGATTGTAATCGGAATGTTTTTTCCCACAAATAGTGGCCATTTACTTGGACCAATCGGTACAGCGACGACCTCGTGTCTTGCAGCGTCGGAGTTCGATCCCCGACTGTCCAAGTGGATGAGTACAGTACCTTCCCTCCGTCCCCCTATCGTAGCTCCTTACCCACGTTCCCCACCCAAGTGCTGTTCACCCTCGCTGGATAAAAGCTGAATCTATACCGTCTCCTCCTGCAGGTGGTGTTGGTAATCAACGTAGCCACCTACTGAGGGCTCACCGTCCCTTCATATACCCAAATGAATGCACTCGCGGAGTTCTACGTTGATCAGGACTTCGTAATCCTTGGATTCCCCTGCAATCAGTTTGAAATGGTAATGACACATATATCAAATCTTGATATGTATTGTATCTTTAAATAAAACATATATGAAGAAACTTATTACAATGCCGTAGTGCTTTAATGATGATAGTGGAGGGAAAGACCCAATATATGTGTATGTATATTATTAGCAAAATTTTTGATGTAGCCAACATCCTTCTTAAAGGTGTTTACAGCACATTGATAAAGGATGTTGGTTTCATCCGAAAATTTAGTTTAATAATTCATTTTCACGTGTACTGGGTCATTCCTTCACATTAAAACATTTCTAATACATCTAATATGTCTTTATTTTTTAATAATACATTTTCGTAACGTCTCAATTCATCACCTACCGGGGCACAGCTGGAGCCGGCGGCCAACGCAGAGATCATGAACGGGATCCGCTACGTACGTCCCGGGGACGGATTCGAACCCTTGATGACCCTGTTCGAAAAGACTGAGGTCAATGGCGCGACCGAGGACCCGCTCTTCACCTTCTTGAAGGTTGGTTGTTGTTGTTGTTGACCAGACCCAGACCACACACTAGAAGGTGAAGGGACGACGACGTTTCGGTCAGTCCTGGACCATTCTCAAGTCGAGTCGACTTGAGAATGGTCCAGGACGGACCGAAACGCCGTCGTCCCTTCACCTTCTAGTGTGTGGTCTGGTCAACATACTTTAACCACGTTATTGTGACTCATCGCCTGCTGTTGTTGTTGTTGTTGTTTAAGATTCAGCTACTCGGAACAAAACGTTTCAAGTAGCACGGGCTATGGTGAGCCCGTAGTGAACTTACCTGGCACAGGAGCGATTCTGTAACTGGTAGAAGGTAAGTTGCTTTATCTTTAATAAATACTAGCTCGCAGTAAGTAATGGGTCCTGTGGCAGAGTAGGCTACGTTCTCGCCTCCCAACCGAGGGGCCAGAGTTCAATCCCTAGACAGGAGAGAAACGGTTGGGCACGTATCTTTTCACCTGATGCTCCTGTTCTCCTAAATGTCAAATATGTTCCCGGGAGTTAGGTAACTGCTTTTAGTTGCATCCTAAGGATGGTCAGTAGTTGGCGTAGGATGGGGGGGCGAGGCGATTAGGGGACCTCAATAAGCCAAAGTTCAGGCTTCCTGTCCTCGAGAACAGGAATTGAGTGCCATAGGGTGTTGAGTAAATACCTTTTCTGCCAAGTTATTTTCTTTTGCCTTCATGATATTAAACCCATTGTTGCTTTCGATCCCATACAGAGCGCCTGCGAGTCCACGTACACGGAGTTCTACTCTAGTCTCTTTTATGAGCCCATCAGGATTGGGGACATTCAGTGGAACTTCGAGAAGTTCCTGATCGGTAAAGATGGTAAGCCATACACTCGCTACCACCCGGATGTTGTGGACCCCGAGGCCCTCAAGGATGATATCAACACCCTTCTCAGCGCCTAGGGGCCCTCCGGGGGGACTTCACGCTGTTGCTGAGGACACCCACATGTTATCCTCAAGCTGAGGACACCTACAGCTAATCCTCAAGCTGAGGACACACACATCTTATCCTCAAGGACACAGAAACATCCTATCCTCAGGCTACCAGTTAAGGCTGCACGTCCAGCTCCGGCCCACCTCCATGCAGCGCCCCGCCCATGACGACGCCGCCAAAAACCCTCAGGTGGGCAGCGTCCGAAGCAGCGGGGAGGGCGCACCCACTTGTGCATTCCGGATGCGACTCTTCTGACTATGGGCTGCTGCATAGGCTGGGCTGGGCTGGACGGGGCCGCTGGCAGTCGTCAGCCCTGAAGCCCTGTACCCTAATTATGAAATCGCTGTTGAAAATAAACATTTTCATCAATCAGCGTTCGCTAGATATTGATTTTTCCTTCATACTTTCATACTTACTTTCCTTTTCCTTCATTAGGAGAAGTTGTTTGAGGAAATTGACAACAAGTGCAAATTAATTTTCTATAAATTTGAATAATTTTTCAAATGTATATATATTAAGAGACTCGGGAACAAATAAATCTATTGTAATACAGTATACTAACACAGCTACAGCCAGAGAAACACTACTGTACAGTATCTATATATTTAAAATTACACAACTGCCCGTAAGACTTGCCATTGGCAACTAAATTTTACTTTAGCAAATTTTACTCTAAATATAACTTTAAATCTTAGTAAATTTAACAGCTTGCTATATTATACCGTCTTGAACTTTACGAACTGTCTTTGGCTACCTCAGTGAAGGATACAATTTGTCATACCTGAGGTATCTGGAAATACCTCAGGAACCTATAAACTCAGTATTTGTGGGCACGCGGGTATTTGTGGGCATGCGGGTATCTCATACAGCACTGACCCTTAATCACGTTTCATCTGCTATTCGAGATCACTGTGAGGAAATGGGGCCACCATTTCACTGTTCTGCGTTATAGTTGGTTACGTTTAAAACGCAACATATTGGTGATTATCTCAATAGATAGGATGAGATCAGCGGTGAACGGTCCGGAGTCCTCTACTGGATTGTTTGCTCTCTGTCCTCTTTTTGGAAGTGATGTTGGCTGCTAGTTTTTTTTATTCTTTCTTATGTATATATATATATATATATATATATATATATATTTTTTTTTTTTTTGTTTTGAGATATATACAAGAGTTGTTACATTCTTGTACAGCCACTAGTACGCGTAGCGTTTCGGGCAGGTCCCTGGAGTACGATCCTCGCCGCGAAGAATCGTTTTTTCATCCAAGTACACATTTTACTGTTGCGTTAAACAGAGGCTACAGTTAAGGAATTGCGCCCAGTAAATCCTCCCCGGCCAGGATACGAACCCATGACATAGCGCTCGCGGAACGCCAGGCGAGTGCCTTACCACTACACCACGGAGACTAAAAAGACTATATAAGTTTGTCCTTTTATTTTGAATGTAATCTACTTTGGTGTTTACATTTTTAGTCATTCTAAGTCATTTATGAGCTACATAATTTGTACCTGTAACGCTTTTACCTAATCTTATATTGTATGGATATGTAACGGTTCTATTGTTACGTAAAGTATGGTGACAAATAAACACAGACACCAAGATACTATACATATATTTGGTCGAATATACAGAAGTACACCGGTGATACTTTGGTGTGAGTTGAGCGCACTGAGCGTCGGTACAGTATCTCGCAAGTGTCTGCTCTAGACCACACTTGAAAGTAGACTAGCCAATGTTCGCTACACCGCTGCTTATATTGCTCGGGCAACACCTCACCTCATTCATCTCCAAAGGTTGACAGGAATATTAACACTATACTTGGAGCGAGTATATTATTGGGATAATCTACTCGCTACAGATATATTTTTGTACTGAAGACGAAACTATGAGGCAATTTCACAATGTAAGACGGCTTTTGTTTTTGGGTGGTGTTATCTCCTACTTTCATATCCCTAAAAAATATAATAAATGGCTTTTATTGAACAGAGGACAAGTAGTACCGGACAACAGGTACCGACAACCCGGTAAAGCACTCGCCCGGCGCTTCGCAAGCGCTTTGAACTGGGTTCGTATCCTAGCCGGGGTCGAGGATTGACTGGGGGCCAATTCCTTAACTGTAGCCTCTGTTCACCCAACAATGAATGGGTTAAACGATTTGGCAGGTTGTATTCCAAGGACAAGGACTTTCATTCCTTATGTGCTGGTTGGTTTACTTGTATACATATTTACATGGTACACAAAGTATTATAACATTTTGTATGAAGCCGCTGACTTGAAAAGAATTAAAGAAGTATTCGTAATACTGAAATCACTTGATTGTATCTCGGAATTCCGAGCGAAAGCACAAAACAATGGCCTAAAACTGAATTTAAACTAGTTAACAATGCTCCCAACTCCATTTTCTGTCATATTATCACAGAAAACTACATTTGACGCGTGATGGACTAGTTTAAATTGAATGAGGTGGCCGGGTTCAGTCGCCCTGAACTAGAGATACAAGTGAATGGTTTTCGTGTGTTGATGCGTATTCAGTATCCAGCTTTAAAATGAGTGAATTTATAACTTCCACCCCAAAATGTTTGTAGAACTCGTTGAGCGCATAAGTGGCCTTAAACAAATGTTTCTTTCCAGCAGGTGGTGCAGTTAATGATCGTGGCCACCTGCCGGGTGCTCCATGCACTAGCGGAGTTCTATGAGGGTCAGGACTTTGAGATCCTAGGCTTCCCCTGCAACCAGTTCAGTTATGTAAGTCTGGATGATATGATGTCACGAAAATAATTGATAGAGGTATTTTCAAGTCTTAAAATGACCTGGTCACCTTACCCATTATGTAGACAGCTGCTTATTGTCTACTTGTTAATTGCTGGCTCCTGGAATCAATGTCATCGCGACCCGGTCTCTGACCAGGCCTTCAGGAATTGGTGGTCAAGCCAACCAGGCTGTTGCACGCCGCTGAACGTAGTCTGACATATGAATTTTTAACCATACTATTGGCGCTAGCAGTCAAGGGCAAGTTTAGAATATCCCAGTTTAGGCAGACCTTAAGCCGTTGATGTTGTGTGTGCGTCATTCAGGCAGTCAGAAAAGTCCCCCTGGGAGTGGACCATATCTTTGTTGGCGTATTGAATGCCTCGTCCGGCCAGAATGCAGTAGCCAGAGGAAACCTTTTTGGAAATTTGATGATGAAGGAATTTAGTAAAGAGGGTTAGGGAAGAGGGATGGGGATCAGAAATACAAGAAATTTGAGCTGAAGGTCGAGTGAGATGCGAATAGTTTAGTGCCCCGTCTACTTTGGATATGTAGAATTGTTTTTAGTTTACTTTTTTACCACAGAATTGGCCAATCATTTACTTTGGTAAACAGCAGGTATACATTCTCGTCTGTATAACATAAAGAGGGTTAGAGAGCTGATACAGTTCATAATGAGTTATTGAGTATTCCACCACATGAGAGGACCGGAGTGGTTTTACAATGGTAACCAACATACATACAATACATACATTTACGTCTGTCATACATATACAGGGTTCGAGATTTCTTCTCTTACATACAGTACAGTTGGTTATTGAGTACTCAACTACAGGATGTAATGAACGAGCGTTTACAAATGTGAAATACAATGCTAACCAGCTTACACATACACGCATTTATATTTTTCGTCTTTCTTACTCATAGTAGTGTTATGGGAAGCAAGTCCTAGCACCACTCTGCTGCGTGGATAATGCTGATCATAGATAGATTAAGGACCTGCCCGAAACGCTGCGCGTACTAGTGGCTTTACAAGATTGTAAATACTATGCTATGTATTCTCACAAACCCAATGTACCTTCTTGTATATAAATAAATAAATAAATAAATGGAGGCTACACGCACGCACACACACATATACACATACACGCGCGCTCTGGGGTCGTAGTCCTAAGGGCCCTAGGTTCGATCCCAGGCGGATCATTGACATAACAGAGGGCAAATAAATTGGTTAGAAAGGCGGGGTCCAAGAGCTAATAGCTCGATTCTGCATATACAAATAGTAAATACATGCATACACACACACACACACACACACACACATTATATACATATAAATGGTGCTGAATAACCTAACTTGCTCGAATACCCTACCTCCGAGGGCGTGTACAATTTGCATAATTTCGTGGCATAATTAGTTCACTTTAGTTTTTTTAAATCGTCTTAGCATCCAAATTTTGTGATATAAAGTGTCAATTTCTGTCTCGCCGCTCTACAGGTAAACTACACTTTCCTTCTCCAATATATATATATATATATATATATATATATATATATATATATATATATATATATATATATATATATATATATATCACCTTGAAACTAAACTTTATTTCAGTAACTTTATGCCAAAATGTAAAGTTGGTTTAGAAGTAGAGTGCTGCACATTAGTTTAGTCCAGCCATTATTGTAATGATTTGTGTCAAGTTGTTACGAATAAAGTTCCCGAGTCTGAATGAATAACAAGTTCGAACATTCGCCAAGGTTGTCAGTTGTCAACTTAAGAACTTGCCAGTTGTCCCCCAGAGTCATTAATCCCGTCAAGACGGGATTAATGACGCTGGAACAATGTGAAAGAAATTAATATTCCTAATTTCGATTGATCAAAATACGTATTTTCAATCTTAATCACAACAGCTGACTTCACAATGTAACTTAAAAGAGTATTTTCTTGATAATTGTGACAACAGAAAATCTGGAACTTCTAGTGGTATCACACAATGTTGTCAACCAATGTGGCACTTCTATGTAAAATAATATTATTTTTATGAATATTCTTATGAAGATGATGATTCATACGAATAGCACAAAACTTCCCCAAGAATCCTGACATTTTATTTCTAATTTAAAACGGAGAAAATGTATAATGTTACTGTTAGAAAGGCATTACATAATATTGCCAATATTATGTCACGAGATAAGGGACAAAATATGAGGTAGAGCAATGACAACGACATCAGGAGAATCAGCTGATAATGCCTGAGCCTTATCATGCTCTCCAGTTCATTTCTTTCTACGATGTTGTGCAGAGGGTGGACGTAACGCTGTGCCCAATCCCGTAGTTTGTCGTAGTTATGGAAGACGAGCAGGACCAGCACGAGGTGAAGGTAATGTAGAACACACAGACGGCTCAATTGAGCTGTGCATGAGCCCAATTGCCTATGGGAAAGCAGCAGCGTTCGGGAGGTTTTCCCCCCCGGTCTCTGCCTTGTGTTGATGTTAGCCAATCAATACTGACTGTGTTCCACAACGTGGCTTCGACTCTGGCTTCAATGCAGTTCATTTCTAATCGTTCCTGGTGTTCTGACTTAGTGTTTCAGCTTTTTATTATATACATAGTCTGTG